GTAGTGGAGATAGGGGGGCTCCCCATCGGTAGGCCATGTATCTGTTGGTATAAATCATCACCCCATGTGAAGTAGGTGGTGTTGACACAGTCTGTTACTAATTTTATTATACTGTCTGTGGTGAGATGAGTATTTAAAGGTGATTGAAGTTTGTCTAGGCGGTGGCGGAGAACTTCTATAGCTTCAGATCTGGGGACATTTGTGAATAGGTCAACAACATCATATGAAAACTATTTTACCTGGGTTTTGTATATTTTTGATTTCGTCACAAAATTCTGATGAGTCACGGATGAAGGATTTAGCGGACTTGCCTAGAGATGATAGGAGTTTTGAGAGGTGTTGGGCTGTGTTGTAGTGGACGGAATCTCGTGAGCAGACTAGTAAGCGAGCTTTAATGGGATCTTTATGAATTTTAATGGTGGCTCTAGCATAAGGTGGACGGGGATGGTTAGGTCGCAGTTGATAAAAAAGATTGTTGTCTATTTGTTTCTTTTCTTTAAGTTCGTTTAGAGTTTTTGGTATGTTCTTTACTTATTGTGCTTGTTGGGTCTTTCCTTATTCTGCGATATGTGGTAGTATCGTTCAATAAGTTAGACACTGTTAACTGGTAATCATCTTTATCCATAATGACCGTTGCTTTACCTTTATCTGCTTGGACAATTGTAATGTTTTTATCTTCTTTTAATTCCTTTAAGGCTTCCCTTTCTAGTCTGCTGATGTTGTTAGGTTGTGGAGTGGATTTCGCTATGAGTTCGGCTATTTGGTGTCTTATGTAGTCTATCTTCCCACCTGGAGCTAATTGCCGGAGGCCCTTTTCTATATTTACTATGTACTCATCATGATTCCTTGGTTTAGATGTTGGTGCGTACTTTAGACCCCTAGAGAGTAGGTTGATCTGTTCATCTGTGAGTGGACGGTTGCTGAGGTTGACGACGGTTTTGGAGAGGAATTCATCTCTAGCATTGGAGCTAGTTCTGGTAGTGGTCTTCTTGGTCTTCTGGGCTTTAAGTGACTTGTATTTCTTTGTTTGTCTAGTTTTGATTTCATCATCTATTTTTAGGTTGGATTTTGTCTGTATATTTCGGAGGGAACTGTAATCTTCATTTGATATGGTGTCTTGTAATTTTTGACGTTCTATCTCTGATTTTGCAAATATGCGGTGTTTTTCATTTCGGTAATGTTGTATTCTTTCTCGTACTAAACATTTACTAGCCTTAAGTAGAATCCTGTAAGCTGATAATGATTTAACCGGCGAATTCAGGATTAGTCCTGAATTCGCCGGTTAAATCATTATCAGCTTACAGGATTCTACTTAAGGCTAGTAAATGTTTAGTACGAGAAAGAATACAACATTACCGAAATGAAAAACACCGCATATTTGCAAAATCAGAGATAGAACGTCAAAAATTACAAGACACCATATCAAATGAAGATTACAGTTCCCTCCGAAATATACAGACAAAATCCAACCTAAAAATAGATGATGAAATCAAAACTAGACAAACAAAGAAATACAAGTCACTTAAAGCCCAGAAGACCAAGAAGACCACTACCAGAACTAGCTCCAATGCTAGAGATGAATTCCTCTCCAAAACCGTCGTCAACCTCAGCAACCGTCCACTCACAGATGAACAGATCAACCTACTCTCTAGGGGTCTAAAGTACGCACCAACATCTAAACCAAGGAATCATGATGAGTACATAGTAAATATAGAAAAGGGCCTCCGGCAATTAGCTCCAGGTGGGAAGATAGACTACATAAGACACCAAATAGCCGAACTCATAGCGAAATCCACTCCACAACCTAACAACATCAGCAGACTAGAAAGGGAAGCCTTAAAGGAATTAAAAGAAGATAAAAACATTACAATTGTCCAAGCAGATAAAGGTAAAGCAACGGTCATTATGGATAAAGATGATTACCAGTTAACAGTGTCTAACTTATTGAACGATACTACCACATATCGCAGAATAAGGAAAGACCCAACAAGCACAATAAGTAAAGAACATACCAAAACTCTAAACGAACTTAAAGAAAAGAAACAAATAGACAACAATCTTTTTTATCAACTGCGACCTAACCATCCCCGTCCACCTTATGCTAGAGCCACCATTAAAATTCATAAAGATCCCATTAAAGCTCGCTTACTAGTCTGCTCACGAGATTCCGTCCACTACAACACAGCCCAACACCTCTCAAAACTCCTATCATCTCTAGGCAAGTCCGCTAAATCCTTCATCCGTGACTCATCAGAATTTTGTGACGAAATCAAAAATATACAAAACCCAGGTAAAATAGTTTCATATGATGTTGTTGACCTATTCACAAATGTCCCCAGATCTGAAGCTATAGAAGTTCTCCGCCACCGCCTAGACAAACTTCAATCACCTTTAAATACTCATCTCACCACAGACAGTATAATAAAATTAGTAACAGACTGTGTCAACACCACCTACTTCACATGGGGTGATGATTTATACCAACAGATACATGGCCTACCGATGGGGAGCCCCCTATCTCCACTACTAACCGAAGTTTATATGACCTCCCTGGAAGAAAAAGCTCTACAGTCCTCACCAATAACTCCTATATGCTATTATAGAAAGGTCGACGATACGTTTGTAATGCTGAAAGAAGAAGATGACCCTAACTGCCTTCTACAACACCTAAACAACCAGCACCCTAGAATCAAATTTACGATGGAGAAAGAAAACTGTGGAACCATCCCCTTCCTAGATGTCCTTGTGAATAGAAATGGCGGTACCATCCAAACAAGTGTATATCGGAAGCCCACACACACCGATCAATACATACATTATCAATCTAACCATCCCATCAAAGTCAAAGCAGCTATCATTTCAACCCTCACCCACAGAGCCAAGAAAATCTGCAATCCTGAACTCCTCAATAAAGAACTAGAACATATAAAACATACATTCTGCAACCTCAACCAATATCCTGAACAGTTAGTCAAGAAAGTCATCAACACCGCTACCAGCAATGAACCTAAACTAGCTAAGACTAAACAAGATTCACAAATTCGCATCTCTATACCATTCCACAACAAGCTATCCTACCAAATCCGGAGGCTCCTTAAGCCAGCGGGAATAGACACCAGCTTCTACACTGGTTCTACAATAAAAGATATCCTCAGCGCAAATGGTAAATGCCGACCAACAATACCTCTGCAACCAAAGGGAAGTGTTTACCAGATTACCTGCTCCTGCAAGAAATTTTACATAGGTGAAAGTAAGCGTCCATTAGATATCCGTCTCAAAGAGCACCAGTCTAAAGGCACCACCAATGAATCAGCTGTATCAGAACACCTGAAAAACAACCCCCGCCACAGAGTGAACTGGTCAGCTGTAAATACCCTTAATATCAACATCAATCAAAAGAAAACTAGAAAATTAATGGAGGGAGTACAAATAAAGAGACATCAACCAGAACTTAACAGAGACAGTGGTTTATATATCCCCAGAGCCTATGATGAATTAATTAAAACAGACTAAATTAATAATTAACATAGACTTTACTTTCACATAAATTCTTAGTATCTTTTACTCAGTTTAGCAGTTTAGTTTAATGTATTGTTACATTATATGCAGCACATAATTATTATAGTACTTATAATTTATAAAAACAAACAATAAGATATTCATTAATTTTTTCTGTAACCTATAAACACATAAATATTAGCATACAGTTTCACGGTTAGTATTATAATTACTAGAGTTAATAAAATGGCCTCGCCTTTTATCTATTGTTATGGTAATTAAAATACATCAAGGCAATAACCTTATATTAATAAGTGGTTTCTACCTAGTGTACATTACAATTAAATGCTTTTGTCAATCTATATGGTTTCATTATAAGAACAAGGGTCACTGTTTTCCTAATTATGTTTTCATTGAATGTTGTGATTGTACATAGTATATATATCTCATTCCTTCTATCTGTATCAGTATTGTGCTTGAAAACGACAAGAGAATCATTGTTGAAACGTAGCTTTAATAGAAATATAGTAATTGTTATCCATATAACTTTGTGTTTATTTTTTATGTGCTCAATTACTAAATGCCATTCAAACAGTTAAAGGGGTACTTTGTACCCAGCATGGTCAAATGGAAAAATATCAGCAGATCAAGGATGTAGATACATCTTATTCGTCATTTGTGTTATATAATTAAACATATTTACAGTGATATTTATCATGTAAGAACTGTGTTCCATAGATTTGTCTTTTAAAATTCTCAACAGAACGGTGAATTTAAGCAAATTTCGTCAATGGTGGCGAGCTGCGATGATGCAGGAGATATAGGCATATATGTAATTCATCTACTAAAGAGAGAGAGAGAGAGAGAGAGAGAGCATGCCACTTGACTCAATGACAGGCCTTAAGATCCAACGCGCACGCGTTAACCATTCGGCCCCCACCCCCGCTTTCACGAAGGTAACTTATCATCACAATCTGATTCAGTAAATAATACTAATTTACATATTTAGAACCCTTAGCTAATTATGAAAGCGTCCTTTTATTAATGACTTATTACCAATGATTGTAACACTGATCAAGGTCGCTGCTGGACTAGTTTGGGTATCTTGACATATGAAGATCTACCACCACCCACTAGATCCGGCTAGTCAAGTAGATTGTAGAGTCTTGTTTTATCAGTTTCTGTAACTGTCACACCGTTGACTACCCATACCAAGGAACATCCTGTCTACAGTTTATTTATTTAAATAGAACTTGGGCGTAAGTTGGTAATTACAGGTATTCTAGTATGAGATGAGTACATAACTACGATATTTGACTACTATAAAACACAATAGCTAGTCGCGTCTTAATATATTTGTAACGAAAATGATAGTTGTGACATGTTTACCTAATTTCCCCTCCTTCACCTTTGCCGACTTTCTTGACCTTATTGCACATTTTCGTGGCTATTTTTTCACAGGATATTCTGTAACGTCCCAAAGGGGACACCTTTCATATGATATATGCAATGACTAGCTTTTAAAAATACAATCTCTACAATATTAGTGATAGGATAAAGCACAAAAGGCATGTTCGCGGAGTTAATCCATATTTTGCACCTTAAAGAAGGTGCTCGCTAGAAAACTGTTTAACAACCTAGCTAGCTGTTCATTGTCAGAATAAATATTTGTGTGCGGTTTTTTTTTATTTACTTACTTATTTTCTTTTATTTATTTATTAATATGTTTAGTGCTGTCTGGGTATTGTGTATGCCTACCATTCTAAGACCGCTTTTTGGTTATTGATAAAATGATGTGCCGAGCCAAGCCGGGTACCGAAGTCAACCTGCGACACCAGTGCTGTTAACAATACTTTTGATATTGCTAGCTAAGGGAATTTCTAGAATTTGATCGTAAATATCAAAGTTGTAACTGTTTTACTTGCATATATCATTACTGCATTATTTCATTCATTAAAAGGGAATCATGAAAAAAGCATAATGAAATTCCAAGCTCTAGTCCTCGGGCACGAATAGTTTCAGACATAGCATAATTACATATTAGTACGCTATCAGAAAGCGCCACTATTTTTATGTACCTACTCCCGTACTGTGTGATTAGTTCTGGTATAAAGTTTCTGTTGTACATGTAGATAAAGATGCGTATTGTACGTAGATAAAGATACGCATTGTACACTAACAAATCCAATAATCCTGTGCTATTCTTATTCAAATAATTTTAAATGCTGACCTTAGCTGAACTCAATAGAACAACATTCTGTCTATATTAATATGTCTATATGGACTAGGTGTAAAATACACCGTGTACGTGCAATCACTGTAATAATTGGGATTGTTAACACTGGATTATGGACGTTATATAAATGGTCATTGAGAACTGTTTCTCTGCGTATGGAATGAGGTGATCAGGACCGTACACCATAAGGACGTTCAGTGTCTGTCCCTGAATCCCTCCGCCTAATCTATTCATTCTCTACTCACTTACTATTGTCCCTATCTTTGGCCCTCCTGTTTTGTACATACACGGTTTAATGTGGTTGTATTTTGTCGTCACCCATGCCCATCGTTCGATCACAAAAAAGTCTCAAGAAAGTTATTGCTGTAGCTTTTAAACTTCCACATATATAGTTAAATTGGAACACGGAAAGTCATCGCACCATGATAATCGAAGACCGCAATTATTTGCATTGACAACTTTGTAAACGTATTTGATTGTAGTGTATACCCGCGGTCCTTTTGAGGGTTAGTATCAGTGTTAACCAGCGACTGCCAGGCAGGACACGTCCACATTTTCGAGAGATGGATAGAGAACAAGCTAAAACGAAAGTGAGTTTTCCTACAATCAAGGGCCATAATTCAGGAAATTACAATTCGATTTGCACAAATATTGAAAGGAACCGAGATCTTTGGGTTATAAACTTACATTTCAAGTTTCAACAAAATCGGATAAAAATTGTGACCTCTATAGGGTCCACAACCTTGATATACCATATTTTTACGCTATTTGAGAACGAGGGGCGGCCATTTTGTCTGTCAGTTTTGGGTCGATTTTCACGAAATTCAAACTCAGCCGTCCTTAGGATGTATCGGTGATATAATAATACGGTTTTTTAAATCGGATAAAAATTATGACCTCTACAGGGTCTACAAGCTAAAAACGTGATTTATCGTACAATCAGGGGCCATAATTCAGGAAGTTACGGTCCGATATGCGCGAATATCGACAGGAACCAAAATTTTGGGTTATAAACTTACATTTCAAGTTTCAACAAAATCGGATAAAAATTGTGACCTCTATAGGGTCCACAACCTTGATATACCATATTTTTACGTTATTTGAGAACGAAGGGCGGCCATTTTGTCTGTCAGTTTTAGGTCGATTTTCACGAAATTCGAACTCAGTCGTCCTTAGGGTGTAACGGTGATATAATAATACGGTTTGTGAAATCAGATAAAAATTATGACCTCTGTAGGGTCCACAAGCTAAAAACGCGATTTTTCGTACAATCAGGGGCCATAATTCAGGAAGTCACGTTCCGATATGCACGAATATCGAAAGGAACCGCGATCTTTGGGTTATAAGCATACATTTCAAGTTTAAACGAAATCGGATAAAAATTGTGACCTCTACACTGTTCACAAGCTAAAACTGTGTAAATGCATAAGCGATTTGGGTGGTCAAATTTAATCTTTAATGGGAGAAAAGCCATAACCATCAGCACATATCGGCCCATAAAAAGAAAAAGAAGATAATATTAATCCGAAGATATTAATCCCTTTAATGCATGCTCCAGACGATGGCGTTCTTTAGCGTCACTGTTAATTGAGTTACGCAACCAATTTAGAGATTGGAGATTACCAGAAACGTTCACATTTTTGTAATTGAAGCTCAACATTGTGTCAGATAGTGTTTATTTATCGCCCATGTGGCACACTATGTCACAACATATCATCATACCTAACACTGTTTTTACCTGACAGAAAACAGAACCTAACCCAAACACGGATTTCATTCGTCTGCAAATTGGGGTTATTATTGTTTAACTGAGATAAATATAAATCACCCCCCATTGTTTTGTCTGGTTAAAATGACAAGAACTTTACCTCTCTGACTAGTCAAGGAACGTAATAATTATAAGCAGCGTGGGCAGTTTTTGTTTATCTATGATTCACAATTCTATTTAACATATTTTATAATATTTTAATTATTAATGTTAAATATTTGAAATAATTAATTTCATATTCGTTCATGCATAGAAATTAATTTTGACTATTACACAGCATTGTTTGCTCTATTTGTCATTTTACGGCAGCTATGACACTTAATAAACAATAAATGAACAAAACAAAAGATTTATAAAAATTTTTAACTGTGTTGGGACCACATCCCGCTCAGGGCATCATACCTTTGTAAATACTGAACGGAACGGGACCATTTTTAGAGATTCTGTTTTCAGAATATCACACGATCACTCCTTATTTCTTAAGGTATCAAAAGAAGTGTGAATTTAGATCACATAGGTAAGATTTTAACATAATTGTCTATGAACATGTAAAATTATATAAACTTATACTAAAATTTCTCGAAAATCTGCTTTTTTACATGATTGTTTAACCGATAACGTTTATCTATCACTATTTTGCATGAAATTAAAAGATAGTAATATCATTTGCGGTTACGTCGGTGCATGTGCAAAACAAGTACGAGAATGTTATATGAACCGGGAACAAAGCATGACGTCATCGCAGCCATCTAGGAATTATATCAAAAATCGAAGTGCGTCTATCGATGCGCGACTATCCAAAGAAACCTCATGTCAAGTTGCATGTCGATCATATTCGAATTGACGGAGCCTTGGGCGTTTTTTAAGAGCATATTACCAAGAACAAGAATATTAACAAGTGTAGGCCTAGACAGCCAGTTCTGCCTGGTTTAAAAACCATCTCAATGGTACATTAAACATACATATCGTAACACACTTCTACCATTATCATTGTGTAGAAATTGTATTCTTGACTATTACTAGCTCATAATAGCTATAACTATTTAATTGATCTTTAATTAATACTGCTCCTTACACCACTCTGTTCAACATATAAATGTGCACTGTAAAAATATTAATGTCATTTTACGAGAAATAGGACCGGGGATACCCCTAAAACACCAAAATTTGACTATTGGATCTGATATTATTTCCTTGAACATATTGATGCACAAAATTATCTATTTCATATTTGATAGTTAGTTGTTTTAGATATTACGATTTACACTGGTAAGACGATTTATGTGAAGTTAGATTTACACTTCTGCAAAATAGATAGGATAGAAATGGAGATTAACTTCTCTTCAACAATGGCAGCATTGAAGATGAACATTTCAGTTCAACTATCGTTTGGAATTTTACGTGCACACCAATGTGTACACGGGTACACCTCGGTTTTTGGTTCCAGCTGAATGACTAAAGACATTTTCCTTGACAGCCTCGCAGACGCTACAATGAAAAGTATTAGAAACGTTTTACTGATTGCTGAATCGAAATGAAAAC